CTACTCAACGTGCAAACTCAACTCCCTTCAGGAGATGAGAACACGTAAGTTATACCAGTGCCCCCAGCAGCCAAGAAAATATCATCAGGTCCTCACATTCTATACTTTCCTCCTAGAGTTCCTCAGGCTGTCCTTCTGAGACCACTTCTTCTTAATTTTAGACTCACTCTAACTATTTAAACATCAGGTGTTAGAAGCAGCAATTTAGAAAAGGAGGAGGTCAGACTGCTCCAGGTAAGCCCCACAACAGTAACAAGAAGAAATGACTGACAGTCTGACCTCCAAGGAGATGGAAAGCTATTTTACAAAGTGGAAGGAAGGGGGCTGATACAGAAACTCAAAATAATAACAGCCTAGGCCATTCAAGGTAGGGACGAACAGCTTTGCTGGCCTTGAGAGCATCTCCATAATACAGAACAGTATAGTAACTAATGTGAAAGGAAACGATGCTTAATATATTTTGTAGCAGAATTCCATAGAACAATAGAATCCTAGGTGGAAAGAGTAGGAAGATCCTAAAGAGAGCATCCCGGCCTAATTCCTTTACCTTACAAGGAAGGAAACACGTAAAGGGGTGCACAGGTTCGAGGCAGAGTTGAGACAAAGAGGGGAACCCGGCTGTCCAGGGCTCCTTCCCTATGGAGGCGCCCACACTGCCACCACCGAGGGGAAGGAAGACAGAGTGCATCACATGTAGTCATGCGTCGTGTGGCTGCTTCCGACATCTCTGCTTTTGCATCCTTGCATTGATTTTACCCTCTTCCAAAGGAGAAGAAACTTGCTCTCTTCAGTCACAAAAGAATGAACGTTTTTTCCCTGGTTTGTGATGAGAACCACAGGGCTGGCCCTGAACAAAATTGGGACTGATAGTAACATTTACTTTGCGTTCTCCTCTCCCTCTATCTCCCATTCCTGGTGTGTCTCCTCCAAACTGTCGCATGGCTGTCCTCCCACTCGGTACCCCACCCATTGGCCCCAAATCTAGAGTTTCTAGTACAATGTAGAATATTCTCCCAACTTCCAGAAGTGTGATATACTCCCAGCCTCTTTCTAATTTAATTTCTAATTCTGTAAAACAAACAAAATGAGGCAATATACCAGTGTTTCTCAAATATAAATGGCAAGCATATTAAAATGCATATTCCTGGTCTCCGTCTCCTGAAATCACAACTCAGTAGACGACTCTGATCGCTTCTTGGCCTTCTGGCTAAGATCAAGTGTAATAGATGACTCTGGTTAAAGTGTCGCACCAGACCCACTTTGGAAAACGTGTGGCTTCTGCCTGCCTCTCCAGCCTCGTCTCCTCCCAGTCCCCCAGTGCATATCCCCTTCCACCCAAAACTTCATAGTCTCTCCCCACCATGCCTTTGCCTCACAGTCCACTTCTGAGTCCAATTAATTCCTCCACACACCTCAGAACCAGCTGATGTGCATGTCTCAACTCTGCTCTCTGTGTTCCTGTGTGTCTTTGCTTTGCTGAGCCCATACAGCCTACAAAGTGTGGGGATTTCCTGGCATAGCTCCTGGAGGCAAGGCCCTGCCTCACTTGTCTTTTTTCTATTCCCAGCATTTGGCATCTTGCCAAGCACATAGGAGACACTCTAAAAGTGTTCATTAGATTATCTTTTGCATGTGCAAATTTCCTAGTTAATAACTAGTCATTTATTTATATTTGCATTTTTAATTAACCCCCCATCCCATATAGTACAGGATTTTCAAAGATTGCTCCAGGTATCACCCTTAAATGAGGAACAGATTTTGTGATAAATAAAAATGAAAAGAGAAGAATGCTAACATAATCTAACCTTGGTGACATCAGTTGTATGGTCATAATGAATTAATTAGACCCAAGTTTACTCAGGATATCTGACACCTAAGGAACAACAACAGAGACACATACAATAAATGGAGTTTTTCTAATAAAGAAGATCAGTTTCTAATTGTTCCTTAGAATTAGGTCTGGCATTCGGGTTTAGACTTTTTTCAGAAGTAAAGTTGGAAGACATCAGAACTGGCTTTGAATTGATTCGTTTACATGAACTTTGCGTACTTGTTCTAAGACCCCAGAGATGTCCAGGATTATCTATCCCAGATGGTTAGCCACCAAAAGGTTAGCTCATCTCCTGAAATCCATCTTTCATGTGTGTGTCCCATGCAGGCGTCTGCTATGCAGAGTTTGGAGTCCGCGTCCCCAAGACCACAGGGTCAGCCTACACCTACAGCTACGTCACTGTCGGGGAGTTTGTGGCATTTTTCATCGGCTGGAATCTGATCCTAGAGTACCTGATTGGCACTGCGGCTGGCGCCAGTGCCCTGAGCAGCATGTTTGACTCACTGGCCAACCACACCATCAGCCACTGGATGGTGGACAGCGTGGGAACCCTCAATGGCCTGGGTGAGACTGCCACAGCCTCTAACTCCAACGTGCAAACTCACAAAGCCAAATAAAGGGGCTCCTCTTCCAGGATGCAATTTGGCAAAAAGTACCAAGGGCCTTAATATGTGTTTTTTTTTTTTTTTTTGCCAAGTAATGGATGAATGAATCTGTCCTAACAAAACTATTTCAATTTCCATAAAAGGTTTTTATGAAAAAATGTTCATCACCACCTTATTTATAATAACAAAACAATTAGAAACTGTTTAAGTATTCTACATGGAGCACCTGATTTAAGTAAACTATGGCAGTGTATGACATAGCTAACAATTAAAAGGATGACCAGGAAGGCTGTTGTAAGAGCATAGAATGATTTTAATGCAATGCTGTATGACAAAGGACACAAATTGTATTTCCAACACGTTAATAACTATATAAAAATACGAGTAATTTAGAAAAGGAACTATGAGGAACTTCTCTGATGGGTTCTTTAGAAGATTTTTAAAAATTTATCCTAAATCAACATGCATTAATTTTTAAATAAGAGAATATATTTAAAAGAAACAAAATGAATGGGTATAACAAAATGAGTGAATACTAAATAACCAGCTCATGTAACAAATACCTTGAGACTTCAGGTCTGAACCCAAACTTCCATTCTGATATCGGACTATCCTTTCACAATCAAGGGAAGCTAAACTCTAGTGGAGGAGACTTCGGAAGTCTTGCCCCAAAACATCCAGGGACTAATTCAGTGGCTGCATGCAAGTCATTGGCGCCCCTGTCTCAGAAGAGCTGACCAAAATGCTGAGCACCGAGATACCATGAGAAAATTTTAAAAATATGAAGACAACATCTTCTCAGAATACTGATTTCATAGAATTTTAGGTCTGAAAGGGTCCTCCAAAATCAGGTAGCCCAAAATTTTCACTTTACAGATGAGGTTCAGAGAAAGGAGACATTTGCCCACGGCCACACGGCTGGTTCCAGGGCAGAGTTGAGCTGAAACCCAGGAGGCTGGCTGCTGAAGCAGTGCCACTTTCCCTCTATAGAGGGCAGGAGTCCACTGGCCAACAGACAAGACCAAAGAGGCGGGGAGAGTTCCCCAGCCATCTTCTTTGCAATCACACAAATGGAAAGAACACCCTTCTTCCAATAACTGTCAAAGACACACATTTTTTTTTCTTTTTTTCCATTTGTTTTTATTAGTTGGAGGCTAATTACTTTACATCATTGCAGTGGTTTTTGTCATACATTGAAATGAATTAGCCATGGATTTACATGTATTCCCCATCCCGGTCCCCCCTTCCACCTCCCTCTCCACCTGATTCCTCTGGGTCTTCCCAGTGCACCAGGCCCGAGCACTTGAAAGACACACATTTTTAAATTTGCTAATAAAGAGATTGCTGGAATGAAATGGAATATTTATGGGCTATAAAGTAAACAACAATGAAGATTAAATCGTTCAAATAACATGTTAGATCCGTGTATACACTTGAATGTCCTTGGATAGTCCTGACTTCGGATGTTCCATGCCATCCTCCAGAGGAACTGATGTAGTTGTCATATTATGGATCCCAATTTTTGGTCCAGGATATCAGGCCATCTCACCTATATACCAAAACCTTCCCATTTGCAACTAGACACCTGTGGACCACACACACACAGCCCCTTTTTCCTCCACAACACACTGACCACCCTTCTCTAAGCTGAGTGCAGATACACTGGGTGGGCCTGGACAATGTTATTAATTCACGTCTTATCCCTGTAGGGAAAGGAGAACAATCATACCCCGACCTTCTGGCTTTGGTGATCGCAATTATCGTCACCATCATCGTCGCGCTGGGGGTGAAGAATTCTGTGGGCTTCAACAATGTACTCAATGTGCTGAACCTGGCCGTGTGGGTGTTCATCATGATTGCAGGCTTCTTCTTCATCAATGGGAAATACTGGGCTGAGGGCCAGTTCTTGCCCTATGGCTGGTCAGGGGTAAGTTCATTCCTAAATCCCTGTTGGGTGTACCTGCCTACTACCCTATGACCAGTTTGAGACATGAGTTAAAGGAAATGTTGCTTGTCCCATAACCTTCATGGCACTCTCTTCATCACCTTTTATCTGAATTTCATCAGAATGTTCTGAAGAAACAGTTCTTTTTTATTTAGCTGTTTCACAAACATTTCTTGAGCTCCTATGTTATATGGAAAGCGGTAATAGATTTGAAGTTTTGGTCACTTGCAATATGCCTAATTCTGCATATAGTATCTCATTTAATCTTCCTGCAATGCAGGAGACTGGGATTCTATCCCTGGGTCGGGAAGATTCCCTGGAGAAGGAAATGGTTACCCACTCCAGTATTCCTTCCTGAAGAATTCCATGGACAGAGGAGCCTGGCATCAGTCCATGGGGTCACAAAGAGTCAGACATGACTGAAAGACTAACATTCACTCATTAACCTTGCAAGGAGGATATTTATATTCTAGTCTTACAGATGAAAAAACTCAACACTCAGAGAGGTCAAATGACTAGATACTAAGCACATAGCATGAGTGCCCAAGTTAGGAGCCGAAGACAGGACTGTCTGATTCCAAAGCCTTCACATGAACAGCTCAGTCCTATAGAATCTCTCTACAGGACTGTTCAGTTCAGACCAGTTGGTAAACAGACAAGCAGTAAAAGAGGCCCGAACAGTGAGCAGGCAAGGAAGGGACGAGCATTGCTTCGGTATGGAACTAAGAAAGGAACAGTTCTCAAATCTAAACTCAATGTTTGATCCAAGGTGGAAAGTCCTGCTGGGGTCTGAGAGCAGAGAAGCCTACTAGTGTGGTCTGGGGGATTGACAAAAGAGTTAGCTGGACCAAGAGGACATCTTCAGATCTCATCCCAGTGATCTGATGGTGTGGTTTATGCTAAAGAAAGGTGGAAAGGTATGAGCGGCAAATTCTTTATACTGACAAGTGCTCGTTCCAAGTCACACCTGAATTCTTCCTCTGTATGACTAAAAATGCCACCTTTACGGATTTACTGGTAAAATTCACTCTCCCATTCTTCTTTTTTTCAAACTGTAGGACATAAATCAGAGAAGTTCGAGCTAGAAGGGACCTTAGAGGCCCCCTGGTCCCACCCTCTCCCTTAACAGATAAAGAAACCGAGGCCAGGAAGACAAGCCCGCCCAGCATCAGTGACAGAAGGCCAGGATTCCACCAGATTTGCTTTTGTAGTCTTTGCTTACACTGGCTTTCCAGGGACCAGAAATCTCTCTTGGAGAACACTCAAAATAACTTCTGTGTATTCTAAACCATGCCACGCTGTTCAATGAAAAGAAATAAGCAAGGAAACAATTTAAACCAAGGTTTCCAGTCTTTGCTTATCAGTAAGAATTCTGCACAGCCACAGAGTTCATCCCTCCCGCTTGAGATGAATAAATCCTCAAACTGGTTAAAACCAGAAAAAGAGACAAAAAAACACTGTTGACCCCATTCTGGATCCCCAAGTCTGTATTTTCTTATGATACAAATTGTTCCCTTCCTATCATATAAGAAAACAACAAATGATAATAGTGACAAAGAAAGAATGTTTTCCCAGAACTCAACTGCATTTTCATCATAACACATGAAAATATGTTCTCACCATTTTCTTAACTATGTAAGAAATTACTGGGTCATGGACTTCCTGTAAGGCTTTGGCCAACAATTAACTTCTGTGCTTTCTGGTTTTCTCATCTATCAGGTGGTAAAACTAATTGCACCAACTGTTTGCAAAAAGATAATAAAACCTTAGACTTTTTAAGTCCACATTGTATAATTAGTAACAATGATCATGATGGAGGAAGGAGCTAGAATTTACCCACTACCTTCTGGGTGCCCAGCACATGCTCTGTGAATATTATCTCACTCTTATAACAAAACTTTGAAGCAGGTGCCACTATCCCCAGCTAACAGATGGAGAACTCAAGGCTCGGAGAAGCTGGGTAACTTGCTGAAAGTCACTTAGCTAGTCAGTGCCAGGACTGAAATCCCCACCCAGGTGCTTGGCTCCAAAGCCCCTTCCACTACATCAAGTACCTTGTGTATGATCCCTGCCTTCTGAGTCTTCTTAATACCTCCTTTAAGCTTCACAAAGACTGGGAGTCTTGGAGCTGGGAGGAGCATTAAGATGGGAGGATAGTTAAGCCTGGGGCTTCCCAAGTGGTGCTAGTGGTAAAGAACCCTCCTGCCAATGCAGGAGACATAAGAGACTCAGACTCAATCCCTGGATCAAGAAGATCCCCTGGAGAGGGGCATATAACCCACTCCAGTATCCTTGTCTGGAGAATCCCATGGACAGAAGAACCTGGCAGGCTACAGTCTGTGGGGTCACAAAGAGTCAGACCTTACTGAGCGACTGAGCACAAGCAAAGTTAAGATCACAGGTCTAGACCATAGTAGAGTGAAATTCAGCTCCAGTCCTGGAGGAGTCAAAGTCCTTATTCACTCCACTGCCCCCAGGACCTCACGCATGGGACCAACTGTCTTTTTTTGCACCTTTGGCCATTGACCTCACTCCAACCCAAACCTACTACCTGGAGTTGGCTGGTCGTTGGTCACCAAAAAAGCCTGACTGGGATTTTGGGATTTTTGCTGTGAGTCCTCTTTCCCTGCAGGAAATTCAAATATGTGTCATTGTGGCTGTGCCTAAAAACATCAGCTGAGCACAGAGGACAGACCAGCGTGAAGATGACTCATCCTCTCTGCCTGGCCTTGGATTTCTGCATCGTACATCTCCTCCCCAGCCCACTGCCTGGACCTGTTCTTTCTTGACTTTGGTTTTAGGTCACTTTTCCAGTCCAGCAAAGCCACTCTGAATATGCATGGTATTTTTTGAGATCTGACACCTTCTCATGAGCATGTCATCCACCAAGTGAATAAACACACTCCCTACTCTGTTCTCGAACAACTGTCAGCAAAATCAAGTTGCCTACTTGCCAACTGCATGAACTTCCTCACTCCTTAGGGAAAATCCGACCCCCACCCCTGACCAAAAAAAAAAAAACTGATGAAATTTGTTAGTCACTCAGGCATATCCAGCTCTTGGCAACCCCATGGACTGTAGCCTGCCAGGCTTCTCTGTCCATGGAATTTTCCAGCAAGAATACTGGAGTGGGTTGCCATTTCCTTCTCCAGGGGATCTTCCCGATCTTCCCGACCCAGGGATTGAACCTAAGTCTCCTGCACAGCAGGCAGATTCTTTACCATCTGAGCCACAAATGAAGCCCACCTCTGACAAGGGGACTGACAAGTTCAGAGTACCAATCCACTTTCTTCTTCAACCCCTATAGGTAAGACGGGATGGAGGACACCATTGTGGAGGGAATGGTTTAAATGGATTACGTGACTTAAAACACAACTCTCAAGGACTTCTAAAGGGTTAATGAGCAATCCATCCTCTGGCCATGGACCCCTCAGAAGCCTAGTCTTTCCCTGTTTCAAACACTTCCCTCCAAAGAAAATAGCATAAGGAATGGTTTACTCACTTACGGGTTCTGGGTCAAATGCTTCTTTGGTCTTGAAGAGCTTAAGAACAACAAACATTTTTTCCCTATATCAAGTAACTGCTGGCCCTCAGCTGAACCCCCACTTCCATCTGCAATTCCTCAGCCCCTGAATATTGTTGGATGCGTGTTCACTGTATGTTATTTGTTCTCGATGCTATCTTATGGTTTCTCTTTAACCAAATAAAACATTCTACCAGCACAAATAGCTCCCAGGAAAATGGTTCAGAGCAAGTGTTTGTGGGGAATGCTGACAGTCTCCAAAAAGAGGAAAAGCTGTTTTCAAATGTCTCCACATTTGAATCCACTTGCTGGAACCTATTAGCACATTCCACTGTCGCTGTGGACAGGCTACTAACAGATCTGGAGCAAGAGGGTGGTAGGAAATGCTGCTAAAGTTGGAGTTTTGTCTTGTTACTTTGAGAGTGAATTACACAAAGATGCCTAATTATCTCGTGGGCATATCTAAAGTAGAATATGGAGAACCTAAACACCTCACAAATATCAGCAAGGCACAGGGATCCCAGCTTTTAGGGATCCCTGAAGTTGAGTAGCAGGCCGGCAATGGCATTCTTTTGTCAACGAATTAAGCAACAGTCCTCCAGCAGCTGAGGCAGGTGCTGCTGCCCCACAAAGCTCCGGAGAGGGAAAGACTGACCTGCATCATCTGGCTGAGCAGCTTTACCAGGCTGACCTTGGAAAATAATTTCCAGTGACATCATCAAATTGAAAAGTCAATACTGGTTTTTACTTATGTAAGACATTAAAGGAAGGTTAGGATAAAGTACTGATGAAGGCAGAAACATGCCTACACACACACAGATGCTTCACCCACTCATTTAATTCACAGATGCTCACCCCTGGGTACCAAACACATTCTTTCAAGCATGGAAGCATATCCTAACTGTAAATACCAGAGGCTCGATCTGAAATCTGGGTAGAGTGAAGTAGAAAGCAGTTTTAGCGGTTTTGGGGTAGAGACACACCCATAGAGTTTCATTTCATGGCTTTTTTGTATTTACCGACCAGGGATTATTTGCTTGAAGGTCAAAAAAAACCTCATTCAAATTAATTCATGTAAAAAGGTGACCCTATTTGTTAACTGTATTATCTTCTCTTAAATAATGTTTATTTAATCTATATCTTGTTAGGCCAGAGTCTGTTTGATCCTGGCAGATGTGCTGCTTTTCCATTTGCCCACACTCTCCCAGATCGCCTCTCTACTCCTCCTGCTCCGCTCTGCGCTCCAGAAGACCCCCTGCTGGTAGCTTCCTGTTAAGTTTAGCCAATGGGAGATACCAATCAGGAGATCAGAAGCGGAGAAGAGAAAAGGCCAGCGTGTTTCTTCCTCACTTCCTCTCAGCCTCGACCCCTAGAGTCCCTTCATCGAAATCATTCCATTTGAACCATCTGAGTTAAATTTCATGGGCTTCCCATCACAGTAGAACCTCCAGATGGCCTACTTTTGATCTGTTGAGTCTTTCTTCAATCATAACTGCCTTCTAGTTCTACACATGCAAATTGGGGCTAACAGACATTCTCTTTGCAAACTTATTCTCTCTCTTCCCAACTAACCTAGTTCCCATAGTTAACTTTCTGGTATCTAATCATTATCAGTAATTGCCATTCATGCTTTCACTCATTTGGGAAACGGTAGTATCTGTCGGTGATGGACAGGGAGGCCTGGCGTGATGCGATTCATGGGGTCACAAAGAGTTGGACATGGCTGAGCGACTGAACTGAACTGAACTGAGCATCTGTGTTTTACAAATAATGTTCAGTTCAGTTCAGTTGCTCAGTTGTGTCCGACTCAGTGACCCCATGGACTGCAGCACACCAGGCTTCCCTGTCCATACCAACTCCCAGAGCTTGCTCAAACTCATGTCCATCAAGTTGGTGATGCCATCCAACCATTTCATCCTCTGTTCATCCCCTTCTCCTCCTGCCTTCACTCTTTCCCAGCATCAGGGTCTTTTCCAATGAGTCAGTTCTTCACATCAGGTGGCCAAAGTATTGGAGCTTCAGCTTCAGCATCAGTCCTTCCAATGAATATTCAGGACTGCTTTCCTTTAGGATTGACTGGTTTGATCTCCTTGCTGTCCAAGGAACTCTCAAGAGTCATCTCCAACACCACAGTTCAAAAGTATCAATTCTTCAGTGCTAAGCTTTCTTTATAGTCCAACTCTCTCATCCATACATGACTACTGGAAAAACCATAGCTTTGATTATATGGACCTTTGCTGGTAAAATGATGTCTCTTCTTTGTAATAATGTAGGTATTTGCTAATCTCAATCAATTTGTTATCACAATCAAGGTAGCATTTCTGGTCTTGCATTGTCCTCTAGGCCCCTAACCCCAGGAGCTCATGCTCAGAGTACTTTTTGCACATGACTGTATCCATATCACCAAGCAGAGTTCCTGGTTCATGGGAGCAGTTAATAAAATATGAATCAAGTTCTAAAAGAAAAATAAGGAGGAAGAAGAGGGGGAATTTATTTGTGTCCTTGATTTCATCTATTCTAGAAAAACTTAAAATAGTAATAAAAATACTACCGATAAGAGCAATATTTATTAAGCACCTACCCAGGTGTGGTAAAGAATCTGCCTGCCAAAGCAGGAAATACAAAAGACTCGGGTTTGATCCCTGAGTTGGGAAGAACCCCTGGAGAAGGAAATGGCAACCCACTCCAGTATTCTTGCCTGGAGAATCTCATGGAGAGAGGAGCCTGGCTGGGCTACACTCCATGGGGCCACACAGAGAGTCAGACATGACTGAGTAACTGAGCATATATTCTACAACTGTGGTGGACTATCTCATTTAATCCTTTTCCCATCCCCCAGGGTCATCCCAGTGCACCAGCCCTGAGCGCCCTGTCTCATGCATCCAACCTGGACTGGCGATCTGTTTCATATATGGTAATATACATGTTTCAATGCTAGCCTCTCAAATTATCCCACCCTCGCCTTCTCCCACAGAGTCCAAAAGTCTGTTCTTTAAATCTGTGTCTCTTTTGTTGTCTCGCATATAGGGTCATCATTACCATCTTTCTAAATTCCATATATATGCGTTAGTATACTGTATTGGTGTTTTTCTTTCTGACTTACTTCACTCTGTATAATAGGCTCCAGTTTCATCCACCTCATTAGAATTGATTCAGATGCATTCTTTTTAACAGCTGGGTAATACTCTATTGTGTATATGTACCACAGCTTTCTTATCCATTCATCGGCCGACAGACATCTAGGTTGCTTCCATGTCCTAGCTATTGTAAACAGTGCTGCGATGAACACTGGGGTACACGTGTCTCTTTTACCTTTTTCCAGGGTAGCTTGGCCCTGAATTCTTACTTAGGACCTTCCCACCCTCCTATCCTCAGCAGGGAGCTCTTCCAGTATCTAAGACCATCCAGCACTGATCACTCCAAGTGGGTATGGCACTGTAGCCCTGGGACGTCCTAATTAGGATTGATTGCATCATCAGACTGATTGTCATAAAATGTCACTGTATGATTTATAAGAGGGGTGTGTGTGTGTGTGCATGTGTATGGAAAGAAAGATGTTAAAGGAAGAGAAAGCAGGACCTGTTTTTCTGGAAGCTGTCTTAAAGCGAGGCCTTCCTGGATTGGGGCAACTTGGTGAGCCTGAAATTCCAGCATCCATCCATCCTTGAACACCAGAAACATTTTTTAGACAAGTGAAAACAAGTACATTTCCAAACCTGTGAACCCCCATGTACCATAAGGTAAGATCTCTTTGATCTCCTTGTCTGGAGGCAAAAGACACTTCCCACTCCCTGAAATGCAGAACTCTGCTGGAGTGAAAGTGGGAGTCATCTCCTCTCCCAGACAGTAGCCCACTGGTGACAACTGCTTGTATGGAAGTTCTTTCTACTAGAACAGATCAGGAGTTCTTAGATTCTTGTGTGTGCAGTAGACTCGTTGGCAGTCTGGTGAAGCAGATGAATCTCCTTTGGGATTGTATTTATATTGTATATAAACTGTGTTTACAAATGAATAACCTAATTACATAGAAGTTCGAAAGAAACCAGTTACAGTTAACCTATCAACAATAGCAGTTTGAATCAGGCTGTTACACCTTTTTTTTTTTCCAAAAGTAAATACTATGGTACTACGTCAGTGAGTGGTTAGCTCACTCTGTGGACACGAAACCACAGACATGGAGGGATCAAGTACATGAGGAACCACGGACACAGAGGGCCAGTATAAGTTATACTCGAATTTTCTGCTGTGCTGGGGTCAGCATCCCTAACCCCCATGTTGTTCAAGGGTCAACTGTAAAAAAAAAAAAAAAAAAAAAATTTAAATTGTGATATAACCATGGGCTTCTTTATTAGTGCTTTAAATATTAATATGTATGTCTAATAACTAACATAAATTGCAAGTAGCCATGAGCACAAATGGTATTTCAAGATCTCTGCAACAACTAATATGATTGGGAAAATATCTGATTGGTGACAAATATCACAATCCTGTTAGTTTGTCATCTATACTCATAATGAAGAGAAATGACAACATTCAATAGAAGGGTAAGGAAAATAAAGAATTATTTTTCTCATCAAAAGTCTCAGACTCTCCTGAATTGCATGGACCCCAGAATAAGAGCCCCCAGTTAGAGAACTGAAGCATTAGAGCACTAATGGGAGAGACTAGAGAAGAGACTAACTCATTTTACAGATGAGCAAATGTTGCTTTTGAAAGTTTGAGACGATCTTCCATTTTGTGATGTACTTTGTAGGTTCTAGTTCTTAGTTTTATGCCTTTTACTTACTGAGAAGTCAGTCAGAAAGGTAAGAGTGAAAATCTAGGGACAGGTATCTGCTTGGCACATTTTTAGAATTTCATCCTTTACAAACCAAATATGGACGAAAAGGAAAAACTGGCCCAGTCTCCAATGAGCCCTAGAGTTTGCATGGTATCAAATGCCTTTACCCCATACACAGAAAATCCAGAAACATCTTTTTCATCTTCCCCTAAAAGGATATCCCCAAGCATTTCTTACTTTCAGCTGGTAATGAGAATGCTAAGGTGGGAAACAGAATTTAAACTTTGAAAAATTCTTTGGAAGAAACTTACATGCTCCTCAATGGAGGATTTTCACTGACATCTTGACCCATCAAATTACAACCATCTTTGGAATCACATAGGCTCCTGTCAGACATCCAGCAGATGTCACTGGATACCACCTCCCCAGCTTCACTCTGCCTCACTCTTCATCCCTTCCCTGGGCATGTAGCCCAACCAGGCTGCTCAAACCCCCAAAATTGGCTCTCCCTTTCTTTCCATGGAAGACAAGAGTCTACCTGAAAAATCTAAAAATCCTTTATATCACTTAACATCTGGAAGATACCCTGAAAATTATCTGCCAGGGTCACTAGTAGTAATTTGAGCAGGAGAATTTGTGCAACCGCATCTGAGACCTCTACTAAATGCCACAAGTGCCCACTCCATGTCCCTGTATCAGTCACAAGTACCTCCCCACATTTCCAAACATTTCCTAGGGGTTGTCACACAGCCCCTGGTTATGATTGAGAACCACTAAATGAAAATAAAGCACAAAGAAATTAATGAGTTCCCCCCAAGACATAGGGTTAGCCAACTTACTGATTTACTTAAAGCTCACTTACTCCCAAAAATGATTTCAATGTGTTGAATGAACCTAATTTTTATTTGGGCATAATTCTTCTTATCTTCATTTTATACATGAAGAAATTTCCCAGTGTCACGCAGCTAGTAGAAGTCAGAACTCAAGCCTTTAGCACAAGTTCCACCATGTTACCCCCTCTACCGCTCAGTAATGTCTGCTGACCATCCGGCAATTAAGGGGACCACGTGTCAGGCGCAGGTGATCCACTGACACTCTAAGTATTTCAAATGTCTTCATCTCTATAGGTGCTGCAAGGAGCAGCCACGTGTTTCTATGCTTTCATTGGCTTTGACATCATCGCCACCACTGGAGAGGAAGCCAAGAATCCCAACACATCCATCCCTTATGCTATCACCGCCTCCCTGGTCATCTGCCTGACAGCATATGTATCCGTAAGTAATAAAGGCTTATTATGGCACCTTCCACATGGACTTTTCATATTTGACCTTAAAATGTGGCTCTGGGACTGGGTTTCCTTCTGTCAGGAAGTAATCCTTCACTTGTGCATTTGTGGTGTTTGTACGCATATGATCATGTTGCTCCCTCTTTTAACACGAGCTCAAGCTCACCCCTCCCACTGATGACAGGGAGAAAATCAAGGTTCCAAGCTGGACACAGGAGAAGCCCCAGGCCCTCATTTGGGCCGTGGCTCACATCCCTGCTCCGCCCTATGCACAAGCTCTCGGCATCCCAGCATCCGGTCCCGGGAGTGGGGGTGGTGGGGGCAGCATGCAGGGAGTGGGCTGCCGTCCAAAGAGTTCAGATCATAGGCTGGCAGTAACGGGTGGGTGTGCAAGCAAGCAGAGGCATTGTGGGCCTCTGTGCACCCTCCTCAATGCTCTTCTGTCTTCTGGGAGCTTCCCAGCAGCAAAGAGGCAAGGCTCCCCCAGAGCGGGGGAAGGAGAAAACAGGATTGTCCTGGAAGCCAACGGGAAACACGAGAGCAGCACTGGATATGGTTTGCCCACCAAAATGTTTCTATTCACGGATAGGTCAATTATCACTTCCCCTATGCACATGGCTTCTCAGGCAGCATTAGTGGTAACGAACCCACCTGCCAACGCAGGAGACATGGGTTGGATCCCTGGATGGGGGAAGATCCCCTGAAAATGGGCACGTCGACCCACTCCAGTATTCTTGTAGGGAAAATCCCACAGACAGAGGAGCCTGGAGGGCATCAGTCCATGGGGTCACAAAGAGTCAGACACGACTGAGCACAGAGCTTATGCACACGCATGCAACTTATCTTCTCCAGCCCTGGTTATCCCTGCAGACAGAATGTTCAGAAACAGTGTGGGGGAGGGGCAGCAGGGGGAGCAACAGAGACACTCTGCTGTGTATTCCCCCTCCTGTCCCACCCCATACCTTCCCCTCCTCCAGGAGTCAACCCTTGTAGCACACACAATAAAGTTAGACCACAGTTCCTTCCTTAGGATAGTGCTTTATAGACTACAGAGTAAGTCCACCACATTTTGCCCTAATCAACATGGGCGGGAGACTCACCAAGAGCTGCTGTAAGAACCCACCCCACTCTCCTCCAGTCTACCCCACCACATCCCCAAAGAGGATGTTGCAAGTGATGGTGTTACTGGGACAGGTTCCCTTTTAGAATGTGTGGGCCCTAACCATGCCTCAGGAGTTGTTTGGTCTTGTGTCGGTCACCAGGCGCACTCTACCACCAGATTGCTGGGCTGTGGTCACACATCTCGCCATCCCCCCCACTGGCCACTTTCTTACACTGGGGGATCTTGGCTCCTGAGACACAGGCTAAAAAGTGATCTAGAAATGAACCACCCTCTCCTTTTCAGGCTCTGGACTCCCTCAGTGATGCCAAGATTGGCCTTCACAGCCCAGGGGTCTCCTGGCCTTATGACTGGCATCTCCATTGCCTGGGGCCAATTATGAAGGGAAGAATGTCATGGTAGATCTATGACATGTGAGGAGAAATAGGTCCTGCTTAAGCAAAGCCATAATGGTCTTCTAGCTCACAGCAGAACTGGACTCCATTCTGATGCCATCATTTATTTCTTGGCCTGCCTGGTTCCTGGGACTGAGCTACAGAGAGGAAATGGAAATATGAGTCCCATCAGTTAATCGGCTATGGATCCCCTACACATTTATCTTTTGAGTTTTGATCTCTGGTCTTTGGGGTAAGAAGTAGGACAGCTGAGACCCTGTAGGACCTGGAAAGTACAAAAGAAATGAGTCTTGTCCATGAAGGCACAGTGCGCGTGGTCAGTGCCAGGTCCTGACTCCAGGGCCTCTGGCTACAGCTCCTGCCATCGGATAACACCTGCTCTTCACTGAACTATCCATGTAGCTCCGCTTTCAGGCGCTGAAATACCAGCAGAGGTTACCTCAGATATGAAAGGACCACAGAGAGACAGTAGAAATGACCTGGTCCAGTCCACTGAATTCACATGAGGGGAGGAAATTCTGAGACCAAGAGCTCCAGAGGCAAAGTAAAGGCACACACCAGAAAGTGGCAGATGCAGGCTCCCATGCAGGACCAGGTCTCTTTCCTCTGCTCCAGGACACCCATCCATGCGTCAGACTGATCCCTCTACCTCCAACCACGTTTCATCTTGTTTTAACAGGTGAGCATGATCCTAACTCTGATGGTGCCATATGACGCCATTGACACGGAGTCCCCACTCATGGAGATGTTTGTGGCTCGTGGGTTCTATGCCGCAAAGTTCGTCGTGGCCATCGGGTCAGTTGCAGGACTGACAGTCAGCTTGCTGGGCTCCCTCTTCCCAATGCCGAGGGTTATCTATGCCATGGCCGGCGATGGGCTTCTGTTCAGGTAAGGGCTATGCTCGTGGCATTTATTTTACTCTTCCATGCCTGTCCAGAGAGACTGTCAACCATCTTCCCCTGTCATATGGACCACGGAACTTGTCATATATCTCGGCAAGGAGTTTGAGTGAAAATAATTTAGGTCCTAAAACAGCCCCTCAGTTTGACTCTGGGTCCCTCAATCTAGCAACAAACTGATATGTTCCCCCAGGTGCCCCTCCCCTTTTATGTGACACTGTCTGTTCCTTCGTAAAGATGGTGAGTGCCAAAATGCTACATGGGTGGCCTCCAGAAGGAAGGACCCATCCCAGGGGCATCTTAGGTTTGCCCTCACATTGAGCCCTGACAACTGCTCCCCTGACATTGAAAAAAGTTCAAAGTTACAATCAAAGAGAGGATAAGATCCTTTGAGCAGAACCTAGTAATAGTAGCAGTGACTACTACCATTTATTGAACGTCTGTGTATCCCGGGTATACGGTATCCCATTTAGTCATCACAATAACTCTATTTAACAGAACAATGTAAGTTCAGTTCAGTTCAGTTCAGTCACTCAGTCGTGTCTGACTCTTTGCGACCCCATGAATCGCAGCACATCAGGCCTCCCTGTCCATCACAAACTCCCAGAGTTTACTCAAACTCGTGT